TTTCTGGTATTCTCTGCTTTCAGCCAAGATCCATCTGACATCAGCAATGATATCCCCTCATGTCCTTCTCTGAATCTGGCTTGAATTTCTGGCAGTTCCCTGTTGATGTATTGCTGCAACTGTTTTTGAATTATATTCAGCAAAATTTTACTTGTATATGATATTAATGATATTGTTAATTATTATTAATTGTTAATAATAATTTCTGCATTCTGTTGAATCACCTTTCTTTGGAATGGACCTTACTATGGTCGGTTAGCCAGGTAGCTGTCTTCCATATTTTTTGCCATAGACGAGTGAGTGCTTCCAGCGTTGCATCCGTTTATTGAAACAGCTCAATTGGTATTCCGTCAATTCCTGAAGCCTTGTTTTTCGGTCAGTGCCTTCATTGTAGGTTGGACTTCTTTCAGTACCATTGGTTCTTGATCATGTGCTACCTCCTGAAATGGTTGAACATTGACAGTTCTTTTTGGTACAATGACTCTGTATTCCTTCCATCTTCTTGTGATGTTTCTTGCATCATTCAATATTTTGCCCCTAGAATCCTTCAGTATCGCAACTCGAGGCTTCAATGTTTTCTTCAGTTCTTTCAGTTTGAGAAATGCCAAGCATGTTTGTCTTTTTTGGTTTTCTAACTCAGTTCTTTGCATATGTCATCACAATAATTTGTCTTCTTGAGCCGCCTTTGAAATCTTCTGTTTAGCTTTTTTACTTCATCCTTTCTTCCATTCGTTTTAGCTATGCTACATTCAAGAGCCAATTTCAGAGTCTCTTCTGACATCCATTTTGGCCTTATTTTCTTTCCTGTTTTTTTAATGGCCTCTTGCTTTCTTCATGATTGATGTCATCCCACAACTCATCTGGTCACCTGGTCTTCAGTCATTTGTTTTCAGTGCATCAAATCTGTTCTTGAGAAGATCTCCAAATTCAGGTGGGATATGCTCAATCTTGTACTTTGGCTCTCATGGACTTGTTTAATTTTCTTCAGCTTCAGCTTGAACTTGTACATGAGCAATTGATGGTCTTTTCCACAGTCTGCCCCTGGCCTTGTTCTGACTGATGATGTTAAGCTTCTCCATCATCTCTTTCCACAGATACAGTCAGTTTGATTTCTGTGTATTCCATCTGGTGAGGTCCACGTGTATAGTCACAATTTATGTTATTGAAAAAAATGTATTTGCAATGAATAACTTGTTGATCTTTAAAAATTCTGTCATGGCAATCTGCGGCGTCGTTTCTATCACCAAGGCCATATTTTCCAACTACCGATCCTTCTTGTTTCCAACTTTAGCATTCCAGTCACCAGCGATTTTCAGTGCATCTTGATTACATGTTTGATAAATTTCAGACTGCAGAAGTTGGTAAAAATCTTCAATTTCTCCATCTTTGGCATTAGTGTTGGTGCATAAATTTGAGTAATAGTCATATTAACTGGTCTCCTTTGTAGGTGTGTGGATAATACCCTATCACTGACAGCTTTGTACTTCAGGATAGATCTTGAGAAGTTCTTTTTGACAATGAATGCGATGCCTGCCTTCATTTTAGTAAGGATTAATTGAGATGACTCATGTAAAATGTGAGGGTCAGGGCCTCCACTGTAAGGATTCAATAAACAGATGGAGGTAATTTGTTTTCATTTGAAAATAAAGGTCTAGACTGGAGATAAAGGTTTGAGAGTTATGTACAGAGGTTGATCTAAACACAGTAAAACATCAGGCAGAAACTAACAATATTGAATATAAGAGGGGATAAATGTAGAATCCCGTGGCTGTTTCCTAAAATCTGTAAGTCAAGGCTGAAGAAAAATGGCTAGAAAACAGTTCGTAAGAAAAGGATTTAAAATTTTTTATTGTCTGTAGGCAAACCCAATATTATCCATGGTATAATCCACTTGCTTTAAAAAAAAAAAAATGCTAATAATACACAGTCTGGGTCATGGGATGGAGCAGTCCCATACACAGGGTACTGTATGGGCTGTGTCTGGAATTCAGTTTGGTAGCCATGCTTTAAGGGGTCTGTTGACAAAGTAAAAGAGGTTGAGAGAAGAGCAACTGGAAGAATAAGTTAATGTTACTGAGCCTAGGTTTAGAAAATAAATAAAAGAGAAGACATGACAGTTTTTCAGATAGTTTAAAGACAGCAATTCTTGGCAGAAGAGAAAATAGACTTGTTCTCTGTATCTGTAGAAGGGAGATCTAGGACACTCCTCTGGAAGGTACAAGACAGCAGATACTGGTTTTGTACTAAGCAGTCAACCAGATACTCGATTCTTTTTTCTTGGGGTTGGTGTAGAATAGAATTTTGTTGGGATAGATGACCTCTAAAGCCTTTTCCAACTCTTAAAGTGGATGTGAGAGTCGTCTCTCAGGTTTATCACCTCACCCATGCCCTGTACTGGGTTAATTGATATGGTAGCCAGACCAGGATCCCCTGTTTCTAGCAAGACTCAAAACAGATTCCTCCTGGGCCGTTGCTCATTTCAGTAGCTGAACTCAATTGACAAGAAAGTACCAACTCTCAAGAGCCTGTGACAAAAAACAAAATAGGTACACGTAATGCTGTCCATTTTCTGACAAATTTACTTTGACTCACTCTCTGCCACTCCTTCCTCCTCCCCCACTCCTCTTTGGCTTTCGCAACCAATTAGGAACTGGATTTTAGGTAGTTTAGGACTCCCTAATCTAGTTATTCTAGAGCCCTGGTGATGCAGTGGTTAAGAGCAATGGCTGTGAACCAAAAGGTCAGCAGTTCAAATCCACTAGCCACTCCTTGGAAGCCTGAAGGGCAGTTCTACTCTGTCCTATAGGGTAGCTTTGAGTCAGAATCGACTCAACTGCAACAGGTTTGGTTTTTTTGTTTGTTCAATTATTCTAAAATAATTTTGATTTTTAAGTCATTACTCTGTCAGAGAAGAGGTCAGGAAAGCCTTAGTTTTTCATGCAGTAATCCCTCACTCTGTGGAAAAATCTTCTTTTGTGGTTCTTTCTGAAGCAGGGTTCTAGAGCACAGAGTTTCTCACCTGGGTCCATAAACTCCCTGAAGCTAGATGTGAAAGTTTGTGTGTGTGTGTATTTCTCTGAGGAGAGGGGCCTTGGCATTCATTAGATTCCCCAAAGCCTGTATCTGTAAGATTAAGAATCACTTAAACTAGTCTCTTCTTAGCTAAGGCGAATCTCCTTTTTTTTCCTTTTTATACTGATGTCCTTCAGCTAAATTCCTCAAACTGAAGTGTGGTAAATTAGTACCAAGTTAATTCAAAGCCTCCCTAAGCTCCCTGCTTGGGCCATGTACCCTACTCCTTCAGAGTACTCACTGCTTATTTCAAGGCACTTGACAGACTGAAATGGTCTATTTATGGGGCCGTCTTCGTTTTTCGATCTGAAGGGTAGGGCCTCAACACCTAGCATCATACCACCTAGCATCATACCAGGTATGTGGTAGATTTTCAAAAATGTTGACCATTTACCCCTGATAAGCCAACCAATTCTTCTTTCCCTCCCAGCAGCTATATGTTTTCAGCACTTACCTTGAGCCAGGTACTGTGTAAGGCATTGAGGATACAGATGTAAGCTCTCTGCATAGAGCTTAGGGGCTGTATCCAGGGGAAGCATGATTTTTGCCACTCCTGGCACTGCCACATGTGAGCCATATGCATTTACAGTGGCACTGACCTGGCAAAAGCTCCCCTGCTCTACCAGAAATTAGTTAGGTGCACATATTCAGCTATTTTCGTCACTCAGAAATGCAAGTGTGCATCTTAGTCTTCCTCAAAATGATCCATTAAATGTCTCTTCAGAATCCTCTTTTTAATACAGCTGTTAATGGTTTGCCTCTAAAAATAGAAAACAGATTGCAGATACTGACGAAAGAAGTGTCAGCATTTAGGTCCATGTTTTGCACCTAGAAGTGTTTTTTGATTTTTTTTCTTTTTTAAATACAATAGGAAAAACTCATGATTAAAACAACAACAAAAAAAAAAAAACTTCAAGCCCGGGTCAACAACGGGGGTTTTTTTTTCTTTTCTAGCTTATGAATATTTTAGCACATGGATTTGGGTTCATGTCTGACCCTCTTTTCCTATTGACTTTTCAGTATAAGCTGTTTCTGGTAGTTGACTTAGTCATGATCTGTCCATCAAACCAGGCATAAAGAGAGCGTAGTCTGGAACACTGTGCAGTCTCTGTTTGAAAATTGATTACACTTACGAGTACATCACTTTTGGGAGTATGCCAAATTGTCTGTGGATATGTGGTTCAGAATACATGCTGTGACATCCCCACTTGGAGATAGTGATTCAGTAGGTATGCACTAAGGCTCTGACATCTTTTAATTTTAAATAACTCCATTAACGTAGGAGAAACCATCTTTTATGTAGCCTTGGAGGTGTAAGAAGTTAATAAGAGATGTCTGCACTGCTTCCAGGGAAGATGACTTTCTAACTTCCTAAATTGAGCTGCTTAAGGGTAATTAGATGTGTTTTTAAAAGTACTGTTTCCATTGCCGCTGCTGGCAACGCTTTTCCCCCGGCTACCTGCCTAGTTATGTCCGTTATGCATTACCAGTCTCCTACCTCTAAATAATGTGAGCTTCATCAGGCAGACATGTTTGTCTGTTTTGTTCATTGATTCATTACAAGCTTCTAGAACAGTGCCTAGCGCACTGAGTGTCCACCCAGTAAGTATTGGTTGAATGACTGCTACTAGCAAGGTAATCCAGATGTCACTGGTTGAAAAAATTTCTTGGAGGGCTCTGAGATCTAACCTCCTCCATCTGTAGCATTTTCTATAAGAGATGGTCCCAAGTACCAAAAACCAGTCATGCAAGTGAAAACACACAAGACTACCGTACAGAGGAGCTGGTTAGTTCTTGATGGGCTGTAACTTTATTTTCAAAACAGGATGTGATATGGTCTGACTTCGGGTTTCCTGGAAGAAATGGACGGGAAAGTACATTATGGATTGGCTCCCTGGGGGCCCATACCCCCTGTCATCTGGACTCCTATGGTTGCAACTTGGTGTTCCAGGTACAAGGAAGGTAATGTGTGCGTGCATATGTTGCACAGGACGGAGGGATGAGTACTGAGCAGATGGTGGGATCCCAAGGCTTAGTCCCAGCCCCATCCCTGTTAACCTGCCTGGTGGCCAGAACAAAGCTCTTAAACCTCTGATTCTGTTTGCTCCTTTATGAAGTGAGGGGGGAATATTTAAATGGTGGTTTTCCGTATGTGTCTCATAGCCCTGATGAGGATTGTCTTCAGAAAGCTGATCCTAGAACCCCAGGATTTCACTTCCAGTTCAGGTAGACAGTTCTCTACTTAGCTCTTTTACAAATTTATAGATTTTAAACTTTTATTTAAAAGTTCTTCAAACTTAAATAAATAAGAACAGAGCAGTTGTATTGAAAAGAAGAGACTTCGCTCCTACCCTTAGGCACCTGAGGGGATGCCAGGAGCCTGGTTTGAAAAAGACTGGACCAGCTTGTATTTACGGCCACTTTCAACTGTAAATTTTAGTTTGTGCCTACCAGTAGACACCGGTCAATTTTTGTCTGCATCTGTCTGAAGACCATAAGAGATAGAAGGGCCAAGTCAAGCAATACTTTTGACAGTCCTTGGCTCCAGGAGTTATGTGTGAGTGTAAGTGTTTTCACCTCTGGGAGGATGTACTCACTATGCAGCACATGCAGCCTTATTTTCCCCTAATTAATGATGCCTAGTCTCCTCTCCTGAGCTTCAGAACATTTATGGGGCAGCACAGAGGGAAAAACAGAAATGGCCATGTGCAAGTTCTCAGACCCTTTAGACATGAAAAGGGTTATGAGTGGATCTGAAACAGTGAATAAGTACATGATTAGATTTCACACGTGAAGAACTCCAGAAACCAGAAGATGACATAAGTAGTCCACGCTTTGATTCATCAAGACTATATTAAAGGGTCCAGAACATGTTAGGTACATCGCTATGCACCGGATGCAACAATGAATAGAGTGGGCCTGGTCCCTGCCCTTGGGGAGTTAACAGTCTGAACGTTCAGCTTGGTAACGGGGTGGCAAGGGGGGCATTGTTTTAACTAGCTACTTCCCACGTGTCCTAAATTGGGAAATAAGCCAAAGAAATTAAAAAAAAATTACCTGAATTCTTTCTGTGATATAAGGTTAATAGAGCTTTATTTTAACTTTGCAATAGAGCGTATTTTCTGGCCTCATATAGCTCTGGAATAGTAAAATAAATTTTCATTAAATATTCATTGAGTCCCCTCCAGTGCAGGTACCAGGTGTTCCTGTAGGTACAGAGATGAATAAGACACTCTCTCTACCCTAAGAGTTTACAGCTAGAGTTCAGGCAAGCCCACAGGTAGCTGTGCTATGAGACAGAATGTATGTGCTCTTGAGGAAGGTTTCACAGAGCTGTGGAACTGAAGAGCTGAAGAAATCTTATTCCTGTTGGAAAGACCAGGGAAGATTTTACAGAGGGGCTGCCATTTGTGATGGGCTTTCAAAGGTAGATAAACTTTCAGAAGACAGAGATGGGAGGGGCAGGGGGACCAGGATGAGCAGAGCCCTGGGAAGCAGGCGACGTATAGAGGACCTGTGAGTTGTGCAGTTGGAACATTGGAGACAGAGGGTTTGGGCTGGAAAGGCAGGTTGAAGCCTAAGCGTGGAGCGTCTTGATTCCCAGGTGGGGGGTCAGGGGGTGACCTGATAACATGATGATTGACTACCTGTAGATGACATTTTAAGCCAGACAAAGCAGATTGTATGGGACTGTTGTCATCATGGCTATTCCTTTGGGAAACAGCCATGCTGCAGGGGAAGGAGCCTGGACCTGGAGAACTCAGGAGACGTGGGACCTAGTTCTGGTCCCACCACTAACTACTGGCCACGTGAGTGACACTGAGCAAGCACAGGGTATCTCTTCCACTCTTTGGAAAATGAGATTAGACCGATAATCTCTAAGAGCCCTTCCAGCATTCTAAACATTCTTTTTGGAGTCTAAATAGGAAAGTATGCATCTCAAGATAATTATCAAGGTGAATTGCACTTTGCAAATAACCACTGGTAGGGGAACTGACTCAGTTTTGATTTCATCATGAAGATCCTGCAAACTGCTCCCAAACTAGTCTCAGGTACAGTGGAATGCAGCACTTTTATCCTTAAAGCTTTAAGGTGAGGCAACAGCTTTTCAATGTCACTGATTTCTAAGCTGATAGGCTCTGTAAGTGCATAGGCTGCTTTATAGTTCCAAAGTGAATTTCTAAAAAGTAACACCTTTCATCATTCCTATAAAACCTTCAATTTTCCAAGGCAAAACTTTAGTATATGCTTCTTAATTTGAAAATAGCAGCAAACTACTTCCCATTTCTGAAAGGAAATGATAGCCCCAGTATAACTGCAAGGGGTCACTAGAGGGTTTTAGGATTTTCTCAGAACTAGGTTTCTTCTCTCTCCCTCTTTGCTTCTCCATCTGCGTATTTCTGTCTGTCTGTTTCTCTTTCTTACTTTCTCACAGCTCTCCCTCACCCTCAGATTTCCTCTGTTGGTTAGGAAGGTAGGCCTGGGTCATACCGTGGTTAAGCACTTGGCTGCTAACCAGAAGGTCAGTGGTTTGAACCTACCAGTGGCTCTGTGGGAGAAAGACCTGACAATCTGCTCCCATAAAGATTACACCTACCCAGAGGAACTAAATGGTGCCTGGCTACCACCACTAACCGCTCTGACAAGAATCGCAATAGAAGGTCCCAGACAGAGCGGGAGAAAAATTCAGATTTACACAAGACCACACTTACTGGTCTAACAGTGAATGGAGGAACCCTCTGAGTCTATGGCCCTGGACATCCTGCTAACTCAGAAATGAAGCCACTCCTGAAGTCCACTTTTCCGCCAAAGGTTAGACAGGCCTAGAAAACAAACCGTAACACATGTGAAGAATGTGCTTCTTAGTTCAATCAAGTATATGAGATGAAATGAGAAATACCTACCCAAAAGTAAAGGCGAGAAGGCAGGAAGGGAAAGAAAAACTGGACGAATGGTCATGGAGAACCCAGGATGTTAAGGGAAAGGGAAAGGGGAGAGTGCTGACACATTGCAGGGATTGCAACTAATGTCACAAAACAATTTGTGTATAAAAATTTTGAATGAAAACTAATTTGCACTGTAAATTTTTACCTAAAACACAATTGAAAAAAAAAAAGATTATAGCCTAGAAAACCCTACGGGGCAGTTCTGCTCTGTTATATAGAGTCACTATGAGTCGGAATTCGCTCAGTGGCACACAACATTGGCTTGAAGTAAGTAAGGATGTGTCTAGTGTTTTGTGAGTTGAGCTCTGTCACTTCCAGTTTTAAAATAAAAAATTTAAGTGACTGGAACATTTCAGTTTTCTCTTTTAAAAAATCTCTGTATTATACTACTTTTTAGTTATGTGACATTATTTGTACATTTCTCACCTTAACAGATTTAATTTAACAAATGTTTAACTTAAGGAATTTATAACCCAGACAAGGAGAAGTCTGGAAACTGCTTGGCTAATGGAAGTATGGATGGTTGTTCTGAATAAGATAAGAATACAGATACTTGAAATGGTGAAGGCCCTTCTAGGTAGCTCTAGAGTCAGGGATAGACATGATTTATGAGGAGGCAGATTTTGATCTGAGATAAGAAAGAATGATCTTACAAATGAGATCCTGTCTCAGCAAGGGAAGGGACTGCCTCAGGGGTCATGAGGTGTCCACTAGTTGCTGCTTCACCTTCCAACAGGTGTCTGCAGAGGGCATTCCAGCACCAAGTGAGAGGTGGGATGGGTAACCATCGAGATTCCTTCCTGTATTCCTTTGTGAATTGAATTAAAATGAGTAAAAATGAACACTTAGGTGCTGCCTTCTTAGGTATTTTGTTTAAAATTCAGAGTACTAACTTACATCTTATTTTTTTACTTAGGAAAAGATGGCACCTCTTTCCTCCTGAAGATACTCCTTTCCTTTACCCAACAAGAATCCCTTATGAAGAATCTAGTGTGTTCAGTAAAATCAGTGTTGTCAATCCTGATTTAAAATGTTTTCCTCAGTTCCGGAAAGCTCAAAGACATACAGTTACACTGAACCCAGGACAGGTAATGGTGGTGTCTTTAAACATTGATGGCCTGTCAGTGGGTACTACAGCTATAATTTCTCAAATTCTTATGCCACACTCCCCCCACCCTGCACCCCCAGTATAAACAGGAATGGTTTCCTTCGCTTCTGCTTTGCTATTGGAAGGAAGCTTCCCCAGCTACAGCTTCAGGCACATATATCTCTGTTTCACAGGACATGAAAAGCAGATGGAAGGAAGGGACACAGCTCCTTCTGTTGGTAAAGGAGAGGATAAACTTTGAAGGAAAAACAAAAGAGCTGACAAAGCTGTTTTTATTCAGGTTAAGATAAAGTGTCAAGATGTGGGCGCTTGAGCACCTCTGGAACTCTTAATCACAGTTAACATCTGTTTAGCAAAGATAAAACCCAGACACATAAACACACAGGTTGGAATACATCTGGGTAGTGGGCCAACAGAGATAGAATGAACTGAGATTGGTTTACTTTTAAGCTAGAATGGATTTTGTTTTTGTAAATGACTGTCTCTGAAACATTTCCAAAGTTAAAGTTTAATGCTGTTACCCAGGAAGGAAAATCTCCTTTAAAATACTGACATTTGCTGCAATATTTTATTAACAGTTTGAAAGGTTTTCTTAGTCCACTCTTAAAGAGACTTTATTCCATTGATTATATCCCTCTCCCCTGCCTGTCTTACTTCCATCCCTCCTTTCTCGCTGGCTCTTTTCCTGCTTCTTCCTTCACACTCAAGTATGTATCACCAACTTGAACAATTTTGACTTGACCAAGTTGCCTCATGTAGCTGCCAATTCATTTTTTTAATTGAAATATAATTCACATACCATAAAATCCACTACTTTAAAGTGTACATTTCAGTGGATTTTAGTATATTCAGAGTTGTGCAGACCATCACCACTATCTAATTCCAGAACATTTTATCACCCCAGAAAAGAAGCCTGGTATCCAGTAGCAGCCATTCCCCATTTCTGTTTTCCCCCAGCACCAGGCAATCATGAGTCTGCTTTCTGTCTCTGGGTATTTGCTTGTTCTGGACATTTCATATAAATGTAATCATACAATATGTGGCCTTTTGTGACTTCTTTAAGCATAATGTTTTCACAGTTCATCCATATTGTAGCTTGTATCAGTTCTTCATTCCTTTTTATGTCTGAATAATATTCTGTTATATTGCAGTGCAATGAATTACTTAATATGGCCCTTCTAGCCATAGTCTTTGTAACTCCCACCAAATGACTAGGTGGGACTATGCAAATAAGGTGCTTGTGGCCCACCAAGGGAATTGGATAGCTTGCTAAAAATGCAAATAAGATGTATGGTACGCTTGTGGAGGTGGGACCCTGCAAATAAGGTGTACGGAACCCTACCAAGGTATTGGTCAGTTTTGCCATCTGGCTAGGCTTAAAATGAGCCATCCCAGAGGTAGAAAGGGGGGACCTCACTACCAGCAAGAAAGAAGAGCAGGGAGCAGAGTGTGTCCTTTGGACCCAGGGTCCCTGTGCTGAGAACCTCCTAGACCCAGGAGACAGACACTGTAACTCTAGAGACAGTGCAAGATGGTGAGAAGCAATGGCAAGCCTGGAAGAGAATCGGCAGCAGCAGAACCAGGAAACTAGCAGGAAACAGCACGGTGGGCTTCACAGCCCATGCATTGGGAAAGCTGAGCACTTGCGGGCAGGACGCTTGCTGACAGAGTAGGGTGCCTCTGGGTGCTTGGCAGAGATAGGCTTGCCAACCCATGGAGCTAGAGAGCTGAGCACCTTCAGGCCAAGGTTTACTGGTGGAGGAGGATGCCTCTGGGCACTTATCAGTGGAGTTAAAGAGCTCTGTAACACTTGCCTGAGCAAGACAGAGGCCAGGTCGGTCCGATGGGCTGAGGGCCAGTGAGACGCCTGCCTGTGGGCACAACCAAACCAAAGAACTATATCCTGAGTCATTCTTGATCCTGAGTTATAAAACTGTTACTTCCCTAATAAACCCCATAATCATGAGTGTTGTCTGTGAGTTCTGTGATGCCATCGCAACAAATTATTGAACCCAGCAGAGAAGTAGAGAGTGCCATGGGAGGGACGGCTGGTGTCAGAATTGGTAAAAAGGTTGGAGAAGGAGGTATGTCTGACTTCCGCTTCATAGGAATCAGTCATGGACTGATGATCTTGATTCTTCACCCTTGCAAAGTTAAACAAAAAGGTCAGATGACAAAGCTGCTGCCATGCGTTTTTACAGAATACTACTCAGCCATAAAGAAAAATGAAGTCCCGACACACGCCACAACATAGATGAAACTGGAAAACATTATGCTGAGTGAAATAAGTCAGTCACAAAAGGACAATACTGTATGATCTCACTTATATGAAATAGGCAAATAGACTGAAACCAAAACTACTTCGTGGTTACCAGGAATGGGAGGGAGAGGGGAGTTATTATATAGGGGGTACTGAGTTTTTGTTAATGGTAGTGGAATAATTTGGAAAAGATAGTGATAATGGTTGATCACCATAAAGAGTATAATTAATATCATTGAATAATACATGTAAAATTGTTGAATTAACAAATGTGTATATTTTCACTATGATTTTAAAAAAAAAGGAAATGTCTTGTTCTTATGCTAACAATTTTTTGTTTGCCTCTAGGTTCTGTTTGTTCCCAGACACTGGTGGCATTATGTAGAATCCATTGATCCGATTACTGTCAGTATAAACTCATGGATTGAACTGGTACTTTTATTTATTTTTTTAATAAATGAAATCCTTGTTTTTAAGATATACAAAGCCTGTATAAGACTTGGTAGTTAATATTTTTTAACCAACACTCCAGTATTGCTTTGTTTTGATGTGCTGTAATTTATCTGGAAATGCCCTAATTTCGCCATCATATTTGAGAGACAGTTTTGCTGGATATATAATTCTTGGCTGGCAATTTTTTTCCTTCAAGCCTTTATATATGTCATCGCATTGCCTTCTTGCCTGCGTGGTTTCTGCTGAGTAATCCGAGCTTAATCTTATTGATTGTCCTTTGTAGATAACTTTTCGTTTATCCCTAGCCGCTCTTAAAATACTCTTTATCTTTCATTTTGGCAAGTTTGATTATAATATGTCTTAGTGACTTTCTTTTGGGATCTACCTTATGTGGGGTTCGATGAGCATCTTGGATAGATACCTTCTCATCTTTCAGGGTATCAGGGAAGTTTTCTGCCAACAAATCTTCAACAATTCTCCCTGTATTTTCTTATCCCTCCCTGTTCTGGTACTCCAATCACTCGTAGGTTATTCCTCTTGATAGAATCCCACATAATATTAGGTTTTTTCCATTTTTTTAAATCCTTTTATCTGATTTTTCCTCAAATAAGTTTGTGTCAAGTGCTTTATCTTCAATCTCACTAATTCTGAATTCCGTTGCCTCAGTTTTGCTCCTATGACTTTCTATTGAGTTGTCTAATTCTAAAATTTTATTGTTTATCTTCTGAACTTCTGTTTGATGTCTTTCTGTGGATTCTTGCAGCCTGTTAAATTTGTCATTATGCTCTTCTCTAATCTTTTTAAGTTCCTCTATTGAATGTTCTGCGTTTTGCCTAATTTCTTTCCTGATGTCTTGAAGAGTTCTGTATATTACTCTATATTACTCTTTTGTTTTCTGCCTCCGGTAATTCCAAGAAATTTCCTTCCTCTGGAAAATTTCTAGATTCTTTATTTTGGGAGCTTGCTGAAGCCATCATGGTCTGCCTCTTTATGTGATTTGGTATTGACTGTTGTCTCTGAGCCATCAATAAGTTATATTTATTTATTTTATGTTTGCTTACTGTGCCCTAGCTTCTTGTTTTGTTTTGTTTTGGTATGCCTAAATAGGCTGCTTGTGTGAGCTTGCCCAATCACCGGTGCCTCTGAAGCTCCAATATCCTGCCACCAGGTGGCCAGATCTGCCACTAAGCATGTGAGCCCAGGATTCTGCCCGCTCCTCCTGTATGGATTCAGCTCAGGTGTCCAGGTAGTCAGCCACCAAGTGTGTGGTGCACGCTCTCACCTACAGTCCTAGACAGGCATGGGTGATTGGTGAGGCACAGGCATCCAGCTGCAGAAGGGGGACACACACTGAGCAAGGCAGGGGGCTGATGGTCGCCCCCAAGTGTCCAGTAGGAAAGCGTGTCCCTGTTCCCTAGAGTGCATAGGTGGGTGCATTTTGCAGCCGGACTATGAGCACCCAATGCCATTGGTTATAAGGACTAGGGGGCATCTCTTATTCTTGGATCCCTATCACAGGTGACTAGGTGGTGTGGGTGGAGCCACCAGTCCTCAGGCCCCTGATGTGGGTACATGAAGACCCTGCTTAATGCGCAGACCAGTGTCAAATGTCACGAACCTGCAACTTCACAGCTAAAACAGTTGAAGTTAGACTTCATGTATATACCCGGTTGTACTGCAGTAATGAGGGCCTGTGCTGTTGAAGTGACCCACACAAGTCTATGCAGGGGGAAAGGCACTCAAAGTCCATGGATCCCTTATGCCTGTGCCTAGGCAAAGGAACTATGCCTACCTTGAGTTCCTGGCTTAGGGGAACCAGCAGATTATTTTTTCTCTGTTTGTTAATTTGTTCCCTCTCGAAGGCTGGGAGAATGGCTCAGGGCACGTGATGGGTCCTACTTCTGGCCCAGGGGACTCGGCAATTGCTGAAGCCATCCTGAACCCAGTGCAGAGCAGGGAGCAGGGAGGTAAGTGGGAGAGAGGTTTTTCCCTAAGGGAGTTGTTTTTGATCCTTATGGTAGGCCGGACGCAAATACTTATCTTTCTCCAATCAAGGGCTTCTTCTCACTGGTTTTGGATGACCAAGTAGACTCTGTGCCTCTGGGTCTCTCCTCATGTGGAAAACGCCTCCCGAGCGCTGCTGCTTGCCTGCCTCACTGCTCACCCCTGAGCTAATCTAGGCTGAAGGACTCTGGCTTCTGCCGGCTCAGGTCTGGCAACTCATTGCTGCTTCAGGACCGTCTCTCCTTCCCCCTGCCACTCAGTCTGATTCCTCAACTTTGCCTTTGATGTTCAGGGCTCCTAGATTGTCATATATAATCGATTCACTTGTTTTTTTGGGTCTTTGTTGTAAGAGGGATCACTGGAAGTGTCTGACTACTCCGCCATCTTGACTCCACCTCTGATGTGCTATAATTTATGTATTCTATCCTCTGTTTGGAAGCCCTGGTGGTGCAGTGGTTAAGAGCTCAGCTGCTAACCAAAAGGTCAGTTCTGCTCTGTCCTGTAGGGTCGCTATGAGTCGGAATCAACTTGACGGCAACAGGCATCCTCTGTTGGTGGACGTTTAGGTTGGAAATAGGATCCATGGTGATGTGTCATCCTCTTTTAAGGGCACACAGTATGCGCTGATGTTGGCATATAGGGTCCTCTCCCTTGACTAGGGTTGTTAGAATTGTACTGGGCTTGGATGGATCTGCTGTGTATGTCCCACGTTGCCAGTCCCATCCCATACCATCTAGGCTGGAGTATCTGCTTCTTGGGTCAGGATCCTCGTTACTAATTACAGAGTTCTTAATCTTTGCTTATACATTTGCTCAAAGCAAAGTCTTTCAGTGCCAGGTTTTTATCATTTCATTTATGCCAGAGAACTCTTTCCCTCCTGTATGCTATGCTTAGCCCTGGCTGGCTGCACTACTTGATAATTAAAATGGCTGCATATTACTGCTGCTATCTGTCTTTTAAAGCTGAGACCTTACTTGCATCTGTGCTCTGTTTAACCTGAGGCCTTGATTGCATTGTGCTGTCTTTAACCCAAAGTCTTGAGATTAAGTAACCATCTAGGTTACACAGCTAAAAAAAGACAGAGACCTGTAACTAAAATCTGTCTGATTCCAAAGTCCGTGTCCAGAGTGATGAAGAGTCTGAAAAAGAAGGTCATATAAAAAAAATACAGCTAAAGAAACTAGAGGTTTTGAGCCTGGAAGAAGAAAAGATAAGGGGACATATGAATCTTCCCCTCAATCAAGATTTTCCTATCCTCTGGTAGTGAGAAGGACTTTGGAATGGGTGGAGCCTAAGGAATGTTGTAACAGGAGGCTGTATAATGTCTGCTTAGAGAACAATTGTAGCACTTGGCCTTAGGTGAAAGGTGTGGCAAGAGAGCAGTGACTCCAGTTAGAAACTCTGCTTGTAGGTTGCTGAACTGGTAGGAGCAGATGTCAGGGGAGAGTCCATGGAGTCCACATCTACTCCCAGTGCCCGAGTAACACCTACAATAGCTCTGACAGATACTACGCCTCCAAGGTAGCTCATTCTGTTGTTAAACAGTAGAGCTGTCATCTGTCTCCTTCTAAACTTATTATTTCTTAAACTGTCCCGATTTTTTTTTTTAAGTATTTGCCATATGTTTTCTTAATGTTTGCCTTAATGTTTTCTTCTTCAGGCTCAAAACCTATGGTTTCTTTAGCTATGTTTTTTACATGACCTTCTTTTTCAAACTCTCCATCCTTCTGGTCATAGACTTTGTTTTTGTTTTTTTTATTATGCTTTAGGTGAAGGTTTACAGCTCAAGTTAATTTCTCATACAAACATTTATACACATACACATATACATGTGACATTAGTTGCAATCCCTGTAATGTGACAGCACACTCCCCCTTCCCACACTGGGTTTCTTGAGTCCATTCGACCAGGTCCTGTCCTTTCCTGCCTTCTCATCCTGCGTCTAGACAGGAGCCACCCATTTGGTCTTATGTATCTGCTTAAACGAAGACGCACACTCTTCACAAGTCTTATTTTATGTTTTATAGTTCAGTCTAATCTTTGTCTGAAGAGTGGACTTTGGGAATGGTTTTAGTTCGGAGTTGACAGAGCATCCAGGGGCCATGGCATCAAGGGTTCCTCCAGTCTCAGTCAGACCATTAAGTCTGATCTTTTTATGTGAATTTGAGTTCAGCTCCACACTTTTCTCCTGCTCCGTTAGGGACTCTCTGTTGTGTTCCCTGTCAGGGTGGTCATTGATGGTAGCCGGGCACTATGTAGTTCTTCTGGTCTCACGCTGCTGGTCATAGACTTTGGAATCAGACAGATTGTAGTTACAGGTCTATACCTTTATTAGCTGTGTAACCTAGATGGTTACTTAATCTCATCAAACCTCAGTTTCCTCACCTGTGAAGTAGAGATTATAATTGCACCCTACCTAAGTAGGGTGGTTGTGAGGCTGAAGTTAGGCAACACATGCAAAGCATCTAATATAGTGCCTGACATGTGGGAAATGTTTAAAAAATAGAAATTGATATAAGTAGGAGGAGGGGGAAGAAGAGCTATTATGTCAAGAGTAACCCTCTTAAAGTACAGCACCTAAAATTAAACACCTCATTTGATAGAGTATAAGATTTCTACTTGTCATGACTTAGATCCTGAACTTCTTCAGTGCTGCCTGTAATATTGCATTGCTTTTTTATTAATTTTAACTCATGTTGAGCTCATATTCAACTCTAAAATATCCTTTTTTTCACATAATCATTTGCCAAGTCAGTTTGTCCCCATCCCATATCTGTAAAGCTGATTTAAACGTAAATATAATACTTCACTGTTATCCCTGTTAATTTTCCTCTTTTTAGTTATTTCTTAGCATTCCAGCTTGCCAAGATAATTTTGGGTTTAGATCTCTTCCATGCTTTTAGGGAAACTCCTTCAACTTTGCCTGTGCGCTTTTCATATATCCCTATTAATTGGTCTTTGAGTGTTTCCTTACT